GTGGGAAAACTAAGGTACGCAAGCATGCGGGAATCATTAAAGGAATCTTCCACGGACCATGGACCAGTGGGCGGGACCGGAAGTGGTTTTGCGACGAAATGCATGGTAGGTACGGATCCACGTTCATGGGAAGGTTTGAAGTGAATCCTGTTCACGTTCGTGCGTTCGACACGTGGATCCGTACCTACCATGCATTTCGTCACAAAAACTTCCGGTCCCGCCCACTGGTCCATGGTCCGTGGAAGATTCCTTTAAGTGCATCATCTCAAAAAAAGCTGGTTGATCTCTCAACTTGATCAGGAACTTCTGCCCTTCTAAATGGACTCCTACTACAGGAAAAGGGAGAATCAAAACAGCTTCTCGACAGAGAGGAAATTCGAATCCATTACGCTTCGTCCAATGTGGGTGATCATCGATTAACAAGAAACAGGCACAGGCTAATGTCATGAAAAGCTTCGTTGATCGTTTGCTCGAGGCATATCTACAAACTGCACGAAGACAGTACTTGAAAATACCGTATGCACCATTCACGCACCAGGAACGCAAGCTCCTTACCACGGAATACTCGGGCTAGAGGCACCAACGGGTTAAGGTGATTTGCAGTGATGCTCTCTTGACGTAATAGAAAAGGGCGCTGCCATGTAGGTAATTTTTCGGATAAAAAAAAACTCTGATTTGGATGGTATCGTTAGCACAACAAGTTATTAGTGCTAATTGGACAGAATACCATTGTCCTTTCTTAATGGATTCTTTAAGAGTAGTTCTATGGTTTGGGTCGCCTGATCTAGTTCTATAAAAGTGAAGCTACACATCCCACAGACTCCAGTGCTTATTATTGATTCCGTGAACGAATTAGTACCACAGAAAGAGCTACTCTAATTCGTGTACTTCGAATGTCAGCGATATATGGCAGTTATATGCTATCAGGCATTCCGAGCGCTTTAACGTGCTTGGGATTTTTTTCACGTTGTTTAAGGCATAATTAAGTCTAGCCAGAAGGTCCCCTGGGTCGCGCCCAGCTTTTGCAAAACGCTGTCTCGCATTTTATAGGGACACTCGCAGGGAACATAGAACTATGCTTCATTTTTCCTGAAACGATCCTATAAACGGCAAAAGTGGCGAACGATTTGGTCTTGACTCGATTCTGCATGATGACAAAGTTTTGCATTTCTAACTGACGCTAGCGTATGACCCAAAATGATATCCACGCCTAATTAAGAGTGCCATTTTACTATCAGGACCATCAGTAACCCTGTATGAGTATGTAGGTTTTTGCCAAAAATATCAGTGCTTGAGCTTTATTAGCAAATTTTCGAGCACTTAGGGGCCGCTCAGGAAAAATAAACCATAGTTCTGTGCTTCACGCGTCTATCCTTACGTCACGCACAAAACCGTTTTTTAAAGCGGAGCATGACCTTGAAGACCTCCCAGGTGACGATCACTTTCTAGTTTTTTTTTCTTTTTTTTTCGCCGAAAGTGTCTGACCCAAAATGCTTACTTCATTTTTGAAACCAACAAAGGGTTCCGAAGCCTCTGACAGCGATGCCGCCTCATTGAGTGTCCAAAGCGCTTCCAGTCATGCGCGGCGGGGCCGCGGGAGACGTCTGCGATGCGGGGAGTGGGTGAGTCATAACTAGGCAATATTGCACAACCACGGGCTGCCTGCATTCACGAGTTGCGCAAAGCAATCTATAAAGTCCCGTGGTGAGGAGCAGGACCAGACGAGATGATTCCACCGCCCAGACGATCTTTCTCTTCTGATATTTCAGCCTGCCAACCTCTAATAGCGACAAAGCGCCACACCGAATGCGAGCCATATCAATGTCGTACCCAAAGAAAACAAAAGGTGAGCATGTTTTCCTTTTCTACCATCATTACTAATGTGAGACCCATGAAAATACGTGGTTATGCATTCCTTAATATTTTGATAAAATCTGACTGATATAAAGATGTAGAAGTAGAGAGGTAGACCAGGGGCCAGTAAATTGAAACTCATTATTCTTCATTTTAGTTTATCCCCATTTCCATCTCACTTTCTCCTATTGTTTTCTATTAGGAAACAGTTAGGGGGCACTCCATTGCGTTCTTCAATAACTAGGGTAGGAATGAGAGCGCTCATGGCACGTGATGGACATTTAAAGTGTACTTCTGAAAAGTATCGTTGTACTGTAGGAGTTCACCTGAGCCTGCATGGTCCGAGGAAACGGTCCTCAACCAGCGGAATAGGTAGCTTTGCCTCGACCTATGTAATGGTGGAGGAGCTCCAGGGTGGATGACCTGGTGCAGAAAAGTGGATGGGATGTGGGCAGGTAGTGTGGAATGTAGGACATCCACCGGTCCTTATCAAAAGTACGCTCGAAATGAGTCGTTCACTTATTATCTTATCCTTAGTGTTCATTGGAGAGCCCAAATAGAGTGCTCTCTAGGACCAAGGATGGGATGCTAGAAGGGGTTCTCTCTCAAACTGGATTTTCAACCCATTTACTTCTGTCAGTGATTCCTCGTGGGTGTACAGTTGAGGTTTATGGTTAACACATTAGCCAACATAAGCAGAAAAAATCTCATATTGAGTTATGGATGTTTACTAATCGTGCTGTTTTCAGTATTTACGACAATTCTGCAGCATTCAAAGATGGTCTCTACCCAAATCCATGCAAAAAATGCTGCATAAGGTATGTTTCGAATAATTTCTCCTCCGGAAAAAGATTGAAAGTAACCAAATCAAATAGTTCTCGGAGCCATTTCTTGTTACTAATCTGGCATTACTATGTGGTGAGAATCGAGAGTGATTCCACGGCAAGTGAAGCTTTCCGGGCAACATGAAAACGTCAACAGAATGAAATTTTCGGAGCAAGTGGTATTTTTTGCCCTGTACATTTAGATACAAATGCATCTTCTCCTCAGCTAAGGAGGGACAGTGAATAGCAGGATGAAACACGGTCTAACTCTCCCCGACAGTTACGTTGGTGGGAGGAGGCTTTATTTGGCGACGGTTACAAAAGGAAGGAACAGAATAGACGAAAGATCATAGATTTCATTTTATAGGGTTCGTATTTAAGATTGTAGATGGGGACATTGAAGGGGCAATGAAATAGCGGCATGAAACGTAAATATAACTGCTTCGGCAGCTATATGTAGATATACCTGCTTGATGATAACTCATCTAGTAACTTCACACGGTTTTCATGGGCCGAGTTGAAATGTCATGTCGCACAAGGTCCGGGTCTGAGCTTTGGTTAACTGTATCGACCAACGAAGCGTTCCAACCAACTTCTCTGAGAGGGTGAAGGGCGAGATCCGTGCTGCGGGGCGTTTCCTGGAGGCGAAGTTCACCCTGTAGCACACTGATAAGGCGCAGAGGTTAGTAAAGAGATTCGGATACGGGAGTTCACTGGGAAACAGACGCTGGGATGCTTGGATTGAATGTGCAGAAGTTGGAGCTCCCTGCGCCCATCGAGCATTTACATCCCAAATTCGTTACAACCTTGGGGCTTACAACAAATACCCAGAAATCATATAATCAAAGAGGGAGGAAACCCTCAGCTACTCTTGTAGTGTGCATTTGATAAGGACATTTTTTTTGCAGAAATGTCGACGGTGAAGAGGAGTCGCTGGACATGGATGATCTCGTTGACATAGTGCTTCTGGCGGCGGACAATGTCAGCAAAACTAAATCGGGTTGGTCATCAATAAACTAATCCGCTGTTAGCCAGTACAGTTCCCAGTGTACCGGAAAACGTGCTACTTGGCTTGTTTATGTCAAGCAGTAAAAACTCATTGTGAAGCACGAAAAGCCCAAATTGATGCAGGATGTTTTGTTTTCAAGTCATCAACAATATCGTCGGTGAATTGAAAACCGATTTTCCGATACCT